TGAACCATACAAGTGTTAAATTTTTCGTAAATAAAATATCCATATCATTAATTAAATGGCGGATTAAATTTGACGGATTGATGGAAAACTATACTGATCTTCCATATATAAATAACGAATATCTGCATGTTTCATATAGTTTCAAATTACAAAATGTAATTAACTTTAATAACAGATAAAACTGGAAAATTAAGCTGCCAAATACCGCCAAATACCGCATGTGATTACATGTTAACGGTACACGTATAATTGTTCTACAAAACAGATGAATTTAGAAAATTTTTTGGTCACAACGTCCGATAAACATACATAGTAAGATTTAAATTTAACTTACAAGATTTTTCAATTTTTACCAATCTTATATTACACATATTACGTACGTATCCTACGTACGCATCAATCAAATTGTCTTGTTTATAAGACAATTCATTATGTATCCCCCCCCAAAAAATAGTAATTCAGATGATTAATTTCTTAAACGTTTTCAATGTTTTAAATCGGAGAAAACTAACCGAATATCTGTCCAACCAGATCGTTGCATCTAGGATTTTGCTAATTTTAGTTAAGTTACTAAAAAAAAAAAAATCTAAGTAGTATTATTTTTGGTCCGCTGATATTTCCCATTTTCGATAAACACATCAGCATATATCGATATATAACTAGCCACTTAATTGCCATAGAGATATCGATATTCATAAAATGAATGGATTCCAGGAATTTCTAACGCTAAACGTATTTTTTTACAAGATCTTGTTTTTTTTTTCAAGTTACAATACTTATATAGATTCTGAACTTTTTAATCTGGTTTTAAATTAGATCTGAGCTTGATTTCGTATTAATATCGATATTTAAAATTACAAATTAAGCCTTTTCTTTGCGTGATATACTCTCTTCGTATATCATAATGACATTATATACCGCAATTGAGATCATATTTTTATTAATAAACTCTATAAGCTTATTGTTATTATCTAGTTTAATTATATTCTTATTTACATCTCCTTACTATTTTACTAAAGCTACATTAATACAATTACTAATAGCTGCTTGGGGGAACATTTTCGGTTCCATTCCTTCACTTTTAATCTATGGGGATGGCCTAAAAACAATTGGCTCCCATTCGACAATTTGTATTATTCAGCAAAAAATTTCTTTTTTCTTCTTTTATCCTCTGCATTTCTTTTTTGTGGTATTAGTAGTTTGCCTTTATAAAGCTTCCATTAACAAATACATACTAATTGAAAAAGATTGGTTTTGGTATTATTCATGTTCCATATGGTGTTTCTCGGCATGCTTAAATGTCTTTTCTTTTGCTGTTGATATTGAAGAACCGAATTATGGTACAAGAGCCTCTTCTCTTGTTTGTAGACCTTTTGAAACTGGTTTACATATTTTTATCTACTTGGTGGTATCTGCTCCATTATTATTACTAGCTTTTATATATACCAGTAAGTTGTTCCCCATTTCACTCGATTCTTTATTCATATGTCTGTTCCTAATGTTAATAATGCTGGTTTATATTATTTAGTTGTTTCGGGCAAAATACTTTTCGATAGATGGAAATCTTATCGCAAGAAAGAGAATAGATTTACTGTAATGGGGTTAGGCCATGCAATAAGGCTTTGGCTTTGTGGTGCATATTTCACCGCGTTTCTCGCTTGCACCAGTATTCCAAGGCTATTTTCTTATTTTAAACAACCAAATGTCGACACTACTTTACTGACGATCTATGATTATGCCTTTTCTTTTAAGTAAGTATTATCAAATACCAATGTATACATATTTATTCGAATAAATATCTAATAATAT